ACATATATCGTGTGGGTAATGGGAAAGAGATGAATTTGACAATTTTTAATTAAAAGAAAAGGCATTCCTCTTCTCCTGCATAACATATCAAATTTTGCAGAGGAAGAGAAAGGTGGTTTCATTACTCATATTTAAAAATTTAGTGATAATCGAATCAAAATTATTTTGATTTTTCACTCATGTCTTTATCAGTTAGATTCCCTATTGTTAAGACAAAATACCAAAGAAGAAGTAGCTTAAGGACCAAAAGGTGTAGGTTGGTTCTCAGTTTGAGGAAAGAATTGCATCAGGTGCAGTAGGCATGGCAGAAGCTAGAGAAAACCAGTCAGGTCACACAGACTTTAACAGTCAGGAAGAAGGAACAGGAAGTGAATTTAACTGAAACTGAAAGGCCCTGCCCTGCCCTAGTGATCTGCATCTAGCAAGGCTTTGTTGGGGGTTGGTCTGGTGTGCTGCATATTGAAATGCTAATTTCTGTACACTAAGATTGGGCACAGTCCTGACATGGGCATTGTCATTTCTATGAAGAATCTCCTACATCAATATTGTGTAAACATTGCTCCCCAATTATCTCTGATTGGTTAATAAAGCTGAGAGATAGAGACTGGGGAGAGGAGACAGGGAAGCTGGACTTTTGTTCCCAGTTTGGGAGTCTCATGTAGGACCATGTGAGGAGGAGGGAAAAGAAGAAGGAGAGGGGGTTGGAGGAGGAGGAAGTTAGAAGAAGATGGAAGAAGAAAAAAAAGGACGAAAGGACATAGCCATGCAGAGCTGGCCATGAGAACTGACCTGATAGAGCAGAATCAGCCCAGGCAGGACTAATATGACAAGTCAGTTGGGGCATGTGGCTGAGAAGTAGCCAGATTAGCAAAGAGGGTTAGATTAGATGAATATCTGTCCAGATCTAGCACTTGTTGAATAAATCTAATAGGTCTCCATGTCAATATTTGGGAGCTGGAGTGGGTGACTAGAAAAGAGCCCCCAAATTATACTCTATGACTTATTTCAACAAGTCTTAATCTCCTCAGTGTCTCACAATTTTACTGAGTATCACCACCATCTAAGAGTGGGAACAAGTATCCAAACACCTAAGCCTCAGAGAAGTGTATGTTTGCAAACCACAAAACAGTTAGTGTTTTCATTGAGTGCTATCCACCCTTCTTTTACCATGAGCCCTATTGACTGGAATCTCTCTCTCATTTTTCCTGCATGTTATATACACCTAAAAATTGGTATGGCTCTTCCTCATCAAGGGTCTTATTTACATAATATTTGCATTTTGTTCATTTCACAAACAGTTAAGTGTAAGGGAATTATGTATCAACTACCCACTGGGTTACACAATTTGATAAAATAGACAGAAAATAGACATGGAAAAAAGTGTCTCTCTTTTAGATATATCTTGAAAAAATAATTATTCTACTCTGTTTAAACTACTTAGAATATTCATTTTTTTTTTTTGTTTATTCGTCTGTTTTGTTTGCAGGCTAGTACTCTCCTAGTGAGTTACATTACCAAATCAGCACTTTAGTTCTTGCAAAATGGCATACACAGTGTCATCTATAGTTTTTGAGCTTCTGAGTTTCTGATAGGGGGCAAAATAGCAAAACATCAAACACTGAGAAATATATCAAAAGTTTATTCCCGTGTTCTTGAGTTCAAACAGCAAGCGATATACATAGAACCGGTAATATAGTATAATTGACTAGACATCAGGTGTTAGAGGATATATGGAGCCACAAATGGTTCCTTAGTTTCAGGCCTGAGCAACTAGAGGCTTGAATTACCATCAACCAAAATGGAGAAGATGCGAATAAAAGGGGTTTAATGGCATCTTTAGGGCTTGGTTTTAAATATAGCATGTTGGAAGAATCTGTGAGAAATTTAAGTGGAGATATGTAAGAAATTAGATATTTAAATCAGATATTTAAAGGGAGAGGACTAGAGTACAGAAACTTTCATGAAGCCATCAGTATATGGATCACATTTAAGGCCATGAGTTACTGTTACTCTCCAAAGGAGCGTGTGCAAATAAAGTATGCAAATAAAGTCTTTCTAAGAAAACTGAATTATTTCAATGATGAAAAATCAGGGTGGGAAGACATAACTGGAAAAGATTACCAGGGAAGAATAAATGATGAGGTTTGGGGAAAATCAATGGCATGTTAAGCTCAAGCCAGAAACTTTCTTAGAAGAGGGCAGATTCCTGGTTAGAGGTCAATAAGATGAGCCATGAGTCTTAATCCTCAGATTTGGACAGGTCTCCAATAATAACAACTTCAATTAAGAGCAGGCTCAATGAGGACAGGAAGTGAAAAAAGTCATTAAAGGAAACTAAGGCAAGAATGAAAAGGGATAAGTGGTTAGTTGAAGATGTAGATGTGTGTGTAAATGCTGAGTGAGAAGACATGGAAAGAACATTCATGGACTTCCCTTCCCTGTACCCCAATTTCCGGTAAAGTTGCATCAAGGTTAACAGTTCAGAAGTCCAGCGTAGGCAGTGTTGACGTCTTGAGAAGAAAGGAGTAATGTTTTTATCTAAGAATTTGAGAGACTGAGTTGTGTTTGGAAAGCATAATGATTCCTGGGGCTGTTACACACTCACAAGGTTGAACTGATGACTAGAGAGTGACTTACTTCAACCATGATGTTGATTCCTTCTTATTCACTCATCATTGATCTGGAGTAGGTGAAGAATGGAATAAAACCACACTTATTATTTTGGTGAAGTAAGAGAGGAGAAAGGAATTCGGGGTGTGTGGGGAGAAGAACTTTTTAGTTACCACAAAGACTAAGCTGATTAAGAAGGGAAGAAGGAAGATGCATTTGATAAGGGGCAACCAAAAATCATGAGGTTCATAAATAGAAATTACAGAGGATCATTGTAGAGTCAGGAACCAATGGGGAGATTACTGTACATAGAGGAAACTTCGACCACTAAAAATAGGGACTTATGGGTTGAAGAGATGGTTTAGTGGTTAAGAGCCCTGGCTGGCCTTTATGAGACCAGGAGTGTTCAACTCCAATTCCTCGTTTGATCGCTGTTACTTCAGCCCTAGGAAATTCATTGTCCTTTTCTGGGCCCCATGGGCACCAGTGACACATATCATATACAGAAATACATGATGACTAAAACAACCATTAATATAAAGTAACATTTTTAAACCTAAAGAATAGGTTTCATGACAATGGTGTTGTGGAGAAGTTATATTTCCTGATGATACTCAGGTCTAGACTCTGACTATGGGAATGTATAGCACAGGAGGGATTGTGAGACAAGGTCACTGGAAAAGTCTAGAGTGTTGGGAGAGCCATTTATTCAAACCCTTAAAATACCACAGATCAAAGCAAGGATTGCACTGGAGAAAGAGACAGTGATTGGTTGTAACACTAATTTTAAACAGATAATGGTAAAAGTGACATAATAGCACAGAACTCATTTCAGTATCTAATTTCTGTTTCTTTTACTTCTTCAAATTTGTGACCTACATAAAGAACTCATTACTTCTACAAAATACTACCCCTTCAATTAAGTCCACTATATTATTATACTAATATCTGATTTATATTTCATTTTAAATGTTCTATTAAAACACCAGGACATTAATCAGGAATATTAATTAGAGATATGAAAAATAATTAAATGTAGACAGAATAAGAGTCTTTAAAAATTAAGTATAGATTATTTATTCCATCAGAGCTGCTCATTGATAACTTTAGAAAATAATGTTCCTTTGTGAAACTCAAAATGATTACAATTTAAATTCTCAGGTTCACTTGCAAGTATAGATTGGGGTACTTATGCTTCATAGGAATAATGCAGATGCTCATGCACATCTGTCTGGTATGGCAATTAAAGCTTCCTCAAACCCCAGTTTATAAAATATTTTTCACAGAACAGGGACACAGCATCATCTCGACACTTCTCTGAAATGTCTGAAGTCTGTAAATACCATCAGCACAGTCATATGTTCACATCAAAATTTCTCCACCTTCCCTGTACTGGCCCTGTGATGTATTTGCTATCTGAAGTCACAGATGCCCAATGATATCACTGATTTTCATTCCAAAAGTTGCTCCTGGACTGTTATTTTGTCATTGCTGTCACCACTCAGTGACAGCTATGTCAAGAAGGGTTCATGCTTGCTGAATTAAATTTCATGGCTATCAAAGTGTAGACGTTTCTTAATCTCCCCTGTTGTGGTTACTTTCTTGATCCTCAGAACAGGACTTAGAGGCCTTGAAGTAATACAGAAATTTTCAAATATTAAAATGTTCCTTATGTCTTTGCCTTTGGACTTAGCAGTGAACTATGAAGGCTAACCCAGAGATTTATTTAAAAAACAAATACACCTATGCTTGCAAGTCTAACAAAATTTCTTAAGTTTTCTTTCTCCAACTCATTAATTCGTAAGTGTGAACATATTATACATAATAAATTACATTAAAGGCTTTCTATATATCCTTAGGCCTGTAGGAATTACTGGAAAAAATACCAGCCTCAAGCTGAGAATCCCTTTCATACAATGAAAAATCTGATTACTGTACCTGGAAGATTTATAATTTTCCTTATATCACCTACCTATGTACAATGAAATATCCTCCAAGTAGATTTTTTCCAAGATATACAATGGAGAAATGTAAGCAGCACAGAATTAAGCATAATCAGGCTTTAAACTTTAAAATAACACTCAATCTTTAGTGTATCTCTAATCTCCATCTACATCCAACGACAACCCTACTAACCATAAAAGTTTGACTAAAAGGCAAAATGACTAAACCAAATTATATTCTCAGGTTTTGAATAAACTACCATTCTTGTCTCTCTTTTCAAAATCATCTTAACGAGAACAAACGAATATGTGAGAAGCTATGAAGCATGAAATACACAGACTTCAGTTTTGCAAAAACCAGAGAGCAAATGTGACCTAATAACAGAGACTTCCAGGAAGATTATGAAAACTCAGAGGCTTGACCTTCCCGTGAATCAGCTTACTTACCAGATATCTCTTCTAGGCACTGCTTAGCTGTCTTACTGTATGAGGAGTCCATCTTTGTGGGGCTGGTACAGGAGTCGGAAGTTGGTAAAGAGGTGCCTTCATTTTCTGAATGTGCTCTGAAGTTAACCAAGAAGACAGGCAGAGACAAACAGCTGTAGTCACTAATGGCTCATCAAACTAGTCCTTTAGTGCATTAAAAGTTTTTCATCAAGGTTGATAACTTTTTCTTGTCACTGGGATGCTTCACAGATATGTAGCTGTATCAGAATTTTGGAACTTGTTTTATATACACCACCTAAGTATTAATGAGGTATTGCATCAGATCTCCTCTATTTTTCTTTGCTTGACAGTTTGTATCTATCAATAGTTGATTGTATTGGGTATGGGAGCAAAAGAAACAAGAGTGTGTCCATTTTATAGAACATCTGGCTATATAATGTTTTTGTAATTGTAGTAAAGCTTTGAAACCACATCTGAAACTCTTTTTAATGCCTACCTTATAAAACATATACTAAAATATAATGCATAACAATAAGTACCAAATAGGCAGTGAGCTATAAACGTAACTATAATGATTCAGTTACTAAGGATTCTGGAAAATTAAAGGCAGCCAGAAACAGACACTTTCACTGATTGCTTATATATTTGTGTGTATGTAAAGAGTGTATAGGGGTTATGTAGTTAACAAGTAAAGGATTGTCTAATAAAATGGAAAGCATTCAATAAACAAACCATATACTTCTGATATTCCAACCATTCTTTACACAGTTCTATCCTCTATGCACAGGTGACCATTCTAGGAATCTCTTGACACAGACACAAAATGTAACAGATTTGATTCAAAAGCTCCTGTATGAGAAAGTCACAGCATGAGACACTGAGACACAGAAGTCAAGCTGATTCAGCACTGTGAGCTGCTGGTCTGTGTTCTCTGCAGAGGTTCCACTTGCCTTACTTAAAATTCCATTTACAGTACAGAGTCTGAACCATGGCAAGTCATCCATAATTATTTCTCACTTTAAGAACATTTATAGAAATATTTGACTGTAAAATAGCACTTCAGTATCCTTTTCAGTCACTTTAAATTAATCTATGACTTATATTCTAAATCTTGATTTTGAGACAAATAAAATGAGAGGATTGATGATAGAATTAGTTGATACCCAACATCTTGGAGCAGGGTCTGTAATCTCAGTATTTCAGAGGTAAAGACAAGACATCAAAAGTCTGTGATATTTTGATGAGACTAAAGTAAACTAGTAGGAGGAGAGAGGGGAAATTTTCAGAGAGGAAAGAAGGAATGGGGAGATGGTTCAGTCTATAAAAAGCTGGCCACACAAGTATGACTTGTTTTTGGATCCACAGCACCTACATAAATATCTAGTCGCAGTGATGCCTAGAGTCCCAGGGCAAAGAAGTCAGAGGTAGGCAGATCACGAGAGCTCATTGGACAGCCAGTGCAGCTAAATTGGGAGACCTCCATGCTCAGTTGGAGACGCTGCCTCAAAAAAAGAAAGTGGACAGCAACCAAGTCCCTGACATTAACATCTGGTCTCAATCTGAAGGCATCCACTGCACTTACGTATACGGTGGATGAATATGTATTTATGCTTCACACATATGTACCATCACATGTGTGTATGTACATACACATATGCACAGGTGATATACAACTGGTATTTAATTGGTAGATATAAAAATTGAAAGAGCTCATTATGACTTTTAAGAAAGGATTTAAAGCTGCTGAATTCTTGGTTATATGTGCATATATGTGAAATGATATTTAAAACAGAGACAAACCAAGAATCGTACGCTCCTGGCTTCTTCTTTGCCTTTTTTGTCTGAATAAAGAGGCAAAACTCTTCTCAAGTTTTCTAAGGCTTCTCATTACTTGTTGAACAAGTTAAAATGGTGAGCATGGAGGTACTCCGGAGTCCCTAAAGAAAGCTACCTGGCTGCTGTCCAAGCAATGTCAATAAAGCACCCTGCCTCAGCAAGCTGGCTTTGAGCCAAGAATGGCTTAAAAATCATGCAGGTTCAGCATTGAGGGACTCATCTCCCAGAAGCTGAGTTACCTTGTGTGTTTACTGAAATGACTGCCTAAAGCCCAATGCTAGCTGTTTCTTATTACATCAACACCGATAGCTGTCACAGGAGGCAGAATATGTGATCACAACAGCTATAAAATCATCCAGGAGGTGCCTCAGGGAAAATCTGAATGGGACATAAGAATATTTAGAATGTCATGAGAGTAGGAATTTTGCTCTACTCAAGAACAGATTGTAGAAAGCACGTCAAAACTGACTGTGGGTAACTTCCTCACTACCCGAGACTGCTTGTTGAGTTCTGTTGGCTAGGCCTCCATCGTCCTTTGTCTGAGACATTTACAAAGTACGTTAGCCCTTCTGATTGTTCAGTCCTAAGACTTTTCATTTTATTTTGGTAGTGCGGGAGTACATCTTCTGGCCAATTACTTTTTTGTATCTTTTTAGTTTAAGGTACATGAGAATATTATTTATTTTCTAGTTCTTTGGTGAATATGCCATGGCATTCTCTATATGAGTCATTTACAGCAGAAATTAGATGGAAACAGATTAATCATTAAAAGGATCACAAGACACTAAACTTCATACCATTTTCAAAAGAACTTTGAAATCCTTGTTGGTTTATGTTCAGAAGTGGGTCAAGTCATATATCTCAATTCCATGTATTTTATAAAAATGGCAAATATATGGGCCTTTTTTATTTACAAAAGTAGTGGTATCAGATTTTAGCTCTACTGGGATATAATCCATGCTTATTAGTAAAGTGTCATCTTTTATACAAATAATCAAAGAAATTTGGCAAGATTCTTGATAATTTCCAAATGGTCTCTATTTTTGTGACTATTATATGCCAGTGAAATAAAATGTTTTCACCATACCATGAAGATTTCAAAAATACTCACAAACACAATTCACAGGACAAAGTGAGTATTGCAGGGCCTCCTTCACAGTTCTATACAAACTGACGTGATGATGATACACATTATATGTACCTACTGAAACCATGACATGTAACTTGGTAAGTACTGTTTGTATAGAGTTTTATGCAACAGGTGTTGTTCTAGTGCAATATCTATGCACCAACACTCAACCTCATTCCAATTCTTCAAGGTAGTTAGTTGCTGCAGGCAAACAAATTATAGTTTAAAGTTGTCTGACCATTGGCCCAGATAATAATCTGGAAGATGCTTAACCATTAATTGAACTAAGCTGCCTGTAAATGGTGAACTATCAGTCACTACTATGACAATTTTACTACATTTATAACCCATGAAACAAAATCATACTCTATTAGTTCTTAATGGACACTCGGTATTTTATTTCAACTTTCCTTTGCTAATAGATAGTTCAGTCCAAAAGAGACAATATTGAATGTGACAGCATCAACTGATATATTCTAGATGTTACATTTTATTGGCCATCTTAAAATGTTGGTATCACATAACAAGTACTATCAAGTTTGAAATTTTATAAAAGTGAGTACTTTTATACTGACCTAAATTTAACAGTGCATAATTTGTGATGTAAATGAATATGTATATTCATACCCAGATATGTCAGTTTTGACCATTTGAAAAAACCTATAAGCAGTAACATGGTTATAAATAAAATTCTCCATGGAAAGAAACCAGGGCTCACTAAATAAGAGATGAAACTAATTTAGGAAAAGGACAAGATGAGCCAAAAACACACTAACACACTAAGAAAGGGAATCTCAAAGAGTGTTAATGCTTGCAAAAGGTCATACAAAGTAGTCTTAAGAATCTTTCTGTGTCATAGTTATAGAAATTTTAAATATCAAAGTAAATTATGGTGGCAATTGATCATAATTTACAAAACAAATTTTGGACTCTATTAGTCCTTACAGTCTGAATGGATGACTAGATAACAGAGAGAGACTTCTTTCTCAAATCATGAAGTAAATACAGAAGAAAAAAATGAAGTTATAAAATAATTTATCATTAGAATGTAATATTAATTCAGACAAGGAAAGTCAATGGAAGCTAAAAGTTTTGTGTGAATGTAAATTAAGAATAAAAATTTTACTACAGTTTTAAAATATCTTCTTCCACAGGTGCTTATTAAATATAAGTGGAATTAATTTTAAACTAGAATATATATTAAAGAAGCAAATAAATCTTATGCCAGAATGATTGAAAAATATAAACAATCATATAACATAATACCTTTAAAGGAAGCAATGGGATGAACATAGAATTACTTATGTGACTCTGCAGGAAAGTAAGTCCATTTGTCTCATGATGGGCAAATATCAGATAAAAGGAAAAAAATTGAAAATTGGCCTTCAAAATATTGATGTTATAAAAACCAATGAGAGACCAAAGAAGAGACTGAAGGCTACTAGGAAGATGTAACTACTAGGAAGAATATTAGATTTAAATTACTTAAAGTAGTATTTTTGGAAATTAATAAAATTAAACAATGCTTTTAGGTATTATGATATATACATATATATATATATATATATATATATATATATATATATATATATATAGTGTTGGCAACATTGCCAAATTTATGGGTTTTTTTCAGAATATCAGAGAGCAAAATTCAAAAGCCAAATAAAAAAAGGTTGCTCATACACACCTATAATTAGAAAATATTAACTTAAAGCAGGATTCACACAATAGTCCCTCTTCCAGCAGAATATCTATATTTTAGCTTTAAAATACTGCAGTATGAGTACATTTAAACTACTCCTCAGTACACAAAAATATATCAAGCCTAGCAAAAGGCAGGCTTGCAAGACAAGAACTCAATAATCTTTAGTGAGTGCTGATGACCAATTATGCCCAGTTCACAGAAACTACAATTGCAGTATAATCTACAGGAGTTGCTTGAGGGTATGCAATGCTTTATCAGAAGGATGGCTGGCTCTGTGTTCCACGTTTCAGTTTTTGTAAACTCACAGACCCTCCTATTCAATTTATTGTTCAAAAACCAATATCTTGCTTTTTTGTTTGTTTGTTTGTTTGTTTTGCCCTTCAGAATCCAGCACATTCAAGTGACAGTTTTTCATGTCCCTTCCTAGGAGAATCTGTACAAAAACT